GGAGACGGGGGGTTGATGGGGCTGGGTGGCAGCTCGCTCCATCCACGCTGACAGCGTTGGCACTTCTTGCTTTGCAAGGAGAAAAGGCTCTTGGTGCGCACGGAGCAGCTTCTGGGGGCTGAGCCAGGGGGTCCCTGTTGTGACAGAGCTCTCAGAGGGGCTCGAGGGGTCGGAGACCTTTCCCACAGCGACTCCCCCTCACCAGGAGGCTCTGGGATGGCCCCGAGGGCTTTGGGAGCAGCTCTGCTCCCCTCCAACAAGCAGCAAGGGTGCAAGGGGATGGGGATGCACAGCACCCCGTGGATGGGAGATGCTCTTTGCAGAGCAGGACCCCATGATGCTCAGGGCAACGTGGCCCCAGCACCAACCCACAACCTCCCCTTGCTGCCGGGGACAGCCCCTGCCTTCCCTCTCCTCCTTGCTTTCCCCACTCCAGGGGATAGAGGGGATATCCCTTTTTGCCCCGTTTTCTCCCCGTATTTGTGCCCACGGCAGCAGGGAGCCCTGCACGCACCTCCCAGGGAGCGGGGGCTGCTCTGGTGGAGTGTCACCACCTTAAATAAAACATGGAAGAGGGAGCAGGCGGCCGCCGCGCGTTCGCTCTCGTTATTATTTCATCCCTCCGGCTCCCGGGCGGGTTCAGCTGCTTTGCTCTCCCTGGGTTTAGTTGCTTTTCTCTCTCTGCCCGTGGCCTCTGCGTCCCTGGCAGAACCGCAGGGCTCCCCGAGGTCCCCGCATCCCTTCCTCTGCCACCACCCCCGTGTCCAGCATCACCTCCCTCACTGCCGGACCCACCCCCGCAAAGCTCGTGAGGGTCTGAACCCACCTCTGGGATGAAGGGGAGGGTGAGATGGGTCTGCCCGGGTGGGTCCCCACGGTGTCCATCTCTCTGTCCGCAGAGGATGAGCTGCGGGTACATCCTGTGCACGGTCCTGCTCTCGGTGGCCGTCCTCCTGGCGGTGACGGTCACGGGGGCCATCCTCTTCATGAACCACTACCACACGCCCGTCACCGAGTCGCCCCCCGTCATCAGCACCAACCCCGAGGAAGCCAACGCCCTGGTCACCATCGAGAAAGCCGACAGCTCCCGCATCAACATCTTCATCGACCCCAACTGCCCCGACGCCACCGGCACCTTCGGGCGCCTGGAAGGGCTGCAGACCTCCCTGCTGCGTGCCGTCACCGACCACGACGCCGAAGCCAAGGCCACCAAGAGCCAGCAGAAGGCCCTGCTGGTCACGGTGGCGGATGAGGTGGCCAAGCTGCTGACACACGCCGTGCAGCTGCGCGCCGACTGCGATGGGCTCAAGAAGGGGCACAGCGCCATGGGGCAGGAGCTCAGCGCTCTGCAGGGAGAGCAGGGCAGGCTCATCCAGGTGAGACGGGGCTGGGGGTGCTGCAGGGTGCTCCTTGGGGACAGGACCCCCCCTGTCCCCATGTCCCTGGGAGTGTAGCCACTTGCAGCCCCTGCCCATGGTGTCCAGGGCAGACCTTCAGCAGAAGGAGCTGAGATTTAAGGTGGGTGCTTGAGAATTGCAAATTAGGAAGCACAACTTCAGCTCCAGCTCATCAGCTGGCTGTGTCTCGCTGCCCAAACTGCCCCAGTACCAGCAAGCCCCCCAGGTTGTGGGTTTCCCAGCTCCAGGTCCAGTTTGGGGGCTCCGAGCAGAGCAGAGCATGGCACAGGACCACCCCAAGGGCGGTCCATGCAGCAATCACACACACCACACCCCCCCTATTTATGGTCCCAAAAATTTCCCAGCCAATGAGCTGTGTTGAAACACTCACCTGGGTGTGCTGGGGGTCTGCTGGGCTTTGTAGCAAGACCCAGGGCACGGCTGGATGCTTGGTTGTGCCCAGTCCTCCTGGTGCTCATCTCCCTCCAGCCGGAGCTCCTCCATCCCCGCTGCTTCGCTTCGCTCCCCATCCCGCTGCTCTGCCACCGCCACCCCGTGTCACTCGCCCAGCCTGGGTCACCTCGGGGGACAGTGGAGAGCCAACGGTTGTCTCAGGACACAGCTATTCCTGCCGCCTCCATGATCCTGTCCCTTGCCCAGAGATGCCCTTTATCCCACGGGGTGGTGGCACCGACGCACCCAAGTTGGGGGATTTCTCAGCCCTGGTGGCAATGGGTGCTACCTAGACCCTGACCCAGGGTCAGAAGGCACCAGAGATGGCATGGGGCATCTGCTGTGGCTTTCATGTCCCCACCAGCCTGTACCCAGGACTGCTGCCTGCAGACACTTGGGGAGCCGTAGGAACAGGCAGAGCATCCTCATGGTGGGGTGGTCAAGGGGCTGGTGGGTGGAAGGGGTTTAACCTTGTCCCCTCCATGTGTTCCCTGTTCACAGCTGCTCTCGGAGAGCCAGACCAACATGGCTCGGCTGGTGAGCTCCGTCAGCGACGTCCTGGACACGCTGCAGAAGGACCGTGGTGGTGCCCGGCCCCGGCTCAAGGCCGACCTGCAGCGAGCGCCGGCCAGGGGAGCGCGGCCCCGGGGCTGCTCCAACGGTGAGACAGCATCCCCTCGGTCCCTGGGAGAGGGGTGCACCTGGGGATGCTCCCGGCAGGTCTCTGCCTAAGAAGAAGGGAGGGAGAAAACCACTTGAGATGGGGGAAACCAGCCTGGAGAAGGGATTTAATACAGTGAGGGGGCTGGCAAGAAGATGGGGGAGGTGGAGCAGGAGGGAGGTGGAGCAGGAGGGAGGTGGAAATTTGTGTCCTATAAGGGGTTTTCCTCACTGTGTGGCCCCTAGTTGTCCATAAAGCAGCCTGCAAAGCCAGCACAAAAGCCACCTCACACCCCTGGAGACTCACCCGGTGTCCGTGCAGGCGTAGCTGGGGCAAAAGCAGAGCAAGAAGCACCCGTTCCCCTTCCTTTGGGTGCAGAGGGCAGCGCTGCACAAGAAGGGGTTTTCCTCACTGTGTGGCCCCTAGTTGTCCATAAAGCAGCCTGCAAAGCCAGCACAAAAGCCACCTCACACCCCTGGAGACTCACCCGGTGTCCGTGCAGGCGTAGCTGGGGCAAAAGCAGAGCAAGAAGCACCCATTCCCCTTCCTTCGGGTGCGGAGGGCAGCGCTGCACGGGACCCGGAATAAACAGTCACATTCAGCATCATTTGGTTAAGATGAAGCTGAGTAAGACCGTCCTGGGGCTGGGAGCACATGCCCACACTCCCTGCAGCTCCCCCTGGACATCAGCTGCCTCCCCCTCAGCTGGGTCCCAGCCTGCCCTTGCCATCACACAGGGACACGGGGTCGGTCCCCGCCGGCTGCCCAGACCCCCGGGGACCACTGGCCCTGAGCATCGGAGGAGAACAGAGGGAAAGAGCAGGGCAGCGCCGAGCCGCCAACTAGAGCTGGCAGCAAGGTTGAGCGCCTGAAAGAAATGGCAAGACATTAAATTAGATCATTAATTAACCAGCTCTCCTCTTGTCCCACCCCATCCCAACGCCACGCTGCAGGCTCCCGGCCCCGAGACTGCTTTGACATCTATGCGAGCGGACAGCAAGAAGATGGGATTTACTCCATCTTCCCCACGCACTATCCCTCTGGCTTCCAGGTCTACTGTGACATGACGACCGACGGGGGCGGCTGGACGGTGAGCTGCTGCCGTGTTGGGGACCACTGGGTGATGCCACCACCAGCCACAGGCTGTCGGCTGGACGGTGAGCTGCTGCCGTGTTGGGGGCCACTGGGTGATGCCACCGCCAGCCACGGGCTGTCCCCACACTGGGATGCCAGGGGTGGGAGACATCACTCTTGGTGCTTGGATGTGTCATCAGGCTGGGGGATAAATGCTAATGGGGTCTGGCAGTGCACAGGGTGCCCATTCCTGCAAAGAAGGGAGCAAACAGGCTTGTTGGTGTTACCAGGAGCTCAGCAACCTTGCCCTGGAGCCCAGCAGACCTGTCCCAGGCTTGGGGAGCTCGGCAGGAGCTGGAGGGTGTTTTCATGCAGGGAGTTGGATGACACAGCTGGAGTTCATCTTTCTCCCAGGTAATTAGTGATAGAACAAGAGGGAATGGCTTCAAGCTCCAACAGGGTAGGTTTAAACTGAACATGAGGAAAGAGATTTTCACAGAAAGAGTAGTCAGGCATTGGAACAGGCTGCTCAGGGAGATAGTTGAGTCACCATCCCTGGATGTGTTTAAAAGTCGTTTAGATGTGGTGTTGGGGGATACGGTGTAGGGGAGAACTTTGTAGGGTAGAGTAGATGGTTGGAATTGATGATCCCAATGGTCTTTTCCAACCTAAATGATTCTGTGAATCTCGGTGGGGATGGTGCCCGATGGGGCACGGCACAGCTGCAGCTGTGCCATGGGGTGAAAGGCTGAGTTTTGCCCCGTCCTTGGAGACCTGGTGGAGCTGAGGACAGACCCCAAACCCAGCCCGTTTCTCCTCATAATGCAGGGGTGCCCGGGGCTGTGATGCTGATTCACTCTCTCCCCAGCCACCCTGTCCGATTCGCTTTGCTGCGGCGGCTGCAACAGCCCCGTAATCACAGTAATGGGGGGGGGGAGCAGAGGGGATGGGGGGACACGGCGCTGGCAGCCCCAAGCCCAGAGATGCCCCTCACCTTGGCGACCCCTTGGGTGCAAGCAGCCCCTGCCCAGGAGGGCATCACTGGGGGTGCCAGCAGGACAGCGAGGGGGTCCCCAGGGAGGTGGCAGGGGGTTCAGCAGGACTGGAGGGGGGACAGGCAGCCTCTCCCCTGAGGACACGCTGGGTGAGTAGAGCCGAGCCGACCAGTGCCCCTCCAGCTGGGTGCTGCAGGAGACAAATCCCCGCGATCTGATTCCCCTAAGCAGCTTTGAGCGGTGCCAGGAGGGAGCTTAGCCCCCCTGCCCTTGGGGGGCCGATGAGCCTTCGGCCTCAGTCTGCCCAGAGCCCACCCTGAGCGGGAGCAGCCTGTCATACACAGGTCAGGACCAGCAGCTCCAGCAGGGAAACAGGCACAGCCCAGCCCCGGGGACCCCAGCTCCTGGGAGGGGGTCACAGAGGGAAAAGGAGGGCCCCTGTGTGCTCCCCAGGGTGAGGAGGGTCCTTGCAAACCCCTTGCACAGCCTCCACCAGCCCCAGCCCTGCCTGAAGAGCAGCCCAAGGTGATTAGCGAGACACTCAGAGGCTTATTTAAAGCTGCTGCAGCCGGGAGGGCTCGGGCTTGGGCTGAGGAGGGGGCAAAGCAAGTGATTTTACACCCAGCAGCACCGGGGGGGCTGCCTGCACCCCCCTGGTTCTGCCCTGCCCTGACCCGGGCAGAGGAGCCAAAACAAGTCCCAAATCCCAGCATTTCAGAGACGGGGGCATCCAGAGCAGGGCCAAGGGTGCTCATCCCAGGCTCCCATTTCTTGGGGCTTCTCTGCAGAGTGTCAGCTCCCAAACATACCTCCAGTCCCTCGGGGTGCAGGGGGTGTCTCAGCCATCCCTTGTGGGGCTGGAGAGGTCTTCTTAGGGCTCCAGGTAAGCCATGGCACAGCTGGGCACCATGGTGGAGAGCCTGGGAAATTTCCCTCCCCTCCTCCTCCTCCTCTGGAGCGATTACTCCTGACATTTGGGCTTATTTGCATGTGGGTGGGTGGGTGGAAGTGATAGCAGCAGCTGAATCAATTTTGACTGGGGAGCTCAGGAGCTGCTGAGCTAAACCTTAGCCTGCACGGTCGGCTTAGAGACCATGGGGAGAAGAGCCACCCCGATGCCCTGCTGGGGACAAACCTGGCTGGGGTTGCTCACTGGGTGCTGCTCAGCACCTCCCTGTCCCCACGGCCTGATCTGTGGTGTCACCCTGTCCCCTTGCCAGAGGCAGGGTCCTGGTTGTTCCCCATCCTCTTCCTCGGGAAGGCTGAGGAAGGCACAGCCCTCACTGGACCAAAGCCTCTTGTCTCTGCGATGGCCGCATCCAGCCCAGGGCATCCCTGTGCTGAGCACACGGCTGCAGCTCTGGGGCCATTTGCTGCCTTTTCTGCATAGTCAAAAAGCAGAAATCTGGCAGAGAGGGCAGCCAGCACTGGCATCCATGCCCATGCTGGGCAGGGTGGCAGGAAGGTGAAGAAATATGGAAGCCCTCACTGGACCAAAGCCTCTTGTCTCTGCGATGGCCGCATCCAGCCCAGGGCATCCCTGTGCTGAGCACACGGCTGCAGCTCTGGGGCCATTTGCTGCCTTTTCTGCATAGTCAAAAAGCAGAAATCTGGCACAGAGGGCAGCCAGCACTGGCATCCATGCCCATGCCGAGCAGGATGGCAGGAAGGTGAAGAAATACGGGAGGGAAGAGCTAGGGAGCTCCCAGCACAACCCCCCAGTGTGTTTTGTCCCCTCCTCAGCCCAGCCCAGCTGCCTGGGATATGGGTCTGGGTCGGTGCCCACCGGTGCCAAAGGGAGCATCCTCATCCTGCTCTCAGGGCCAACTTTAATTGCAGAGACTCCCCCGGGTGACCTGAGCCTTGTGGCAGTGCTGGGCTGCAGCTGTGTAATTGCCCAGCCTGACCCTGACCCCCCTTTTGACACTCACCTCCAGCATGTTATTAAAGTAATAACGAGGTGATGGAGGGTGGGGGAGGCTCAGCATCCTGAGAGGCCTGAAAAAGTTGCCTCTTCACGTGCTGCTGTCTTGGGAAGTCTTTGCAAACGCCCTGTGTTCCTCCCAGTGCCCCCAAGCCTCCATTGCTGCCCAGATGGGGCAAAGCCCCCCAGGATCAGCATCTCAGCCCCATAAGCGACGGTGCCACGACAGCTCCGGCCACATCAGCATCATTTTTTCCGTGTCCAGCATGTGGTGGGAAGTGATGGGAAAGCCAAAGGATGCGGAAGAAAAGGCTGTGCTGGCAGGATGAGGGCTGTGGTGATGTTAAGTGACAGCTTCCAGCTTCACGGGCACCTGCCATGCTGGGGATGCTGAGGGAGATGGTGCCCAGCCTGCTCATCACCCACCAGAGGGGTCCTGGGGTGGGCTTGGGGGGGTTTGAGCAGACACTGATGCACTTACACACAAGCTGGGGCAAGCCAAAGGCAGCGGGTGAGACGAGCCTGGGGAAATGTGTACTGTTTCCAAAAGATGTGATTTATGTGTCGCCACAAACAGGGATGAGACACTTCTGCTGGCGGGGACAGGGAGAAGTCCCTGGGATGGGCAGCTGCCAGTGGGGATGGTCGTAGGCTGTCACACGGGATTGGCACCTCCCGGGCACCGGCTCCTGCGATGCTCCCAGTTTATCTGCTCCGTGGCTGAACCCAAAGATGGTCTCCCTGCTGTGATGGGACTCAGAGGAACGCCACGGGGCTGGGGCTACGGGGTGGCCATGCCACAGCTGCCAAAAATGTGACCAGGAGCTGGAGCACTGCGGTGGCAGAGAAGTGATGGCCGAGCATCTCCCCAGGCTGTGGCTATGGGGGGGTTTTGAGCCCCTTGGGGGTTTGGTGGGGTCTGGTATCAGGGGGCTGTGGGTAGAGGGAGCAGAGCCCTCCCTTGCCACCAATGCCACCATAGGCACAAGCTGGCACTCCTGCTTTTCCCTGCCTTTAACCCATTTTTCTGGGTTGGTGCCTTTGCAGGATCCTGCCCCTGCGAGCTCAGCGCGACCAGGGGAGGCAGAGAGCAGGGGAGATAAATATTTCAGCCTTGCCTTTAAAGAAGGGAAGGAAATCCTTTTTGCTTAAGAGGGGGTGATGCATATTTGATGAGGAGGAAAAGAGCAGCGAGGCAGGGCTGGGAGCGAGCAGCGAGGCTGCGGGTCACCGGTGTGGGCAGCATCCCAGTACAGGCAGCATCCTGGTACAGACAGCATCCCAGTGCAGGCAGCATCCCAGTACAGGCAGCATCCCAGTGCTGGGGTGAGGAGGAGGCTCCCATGTCCTCACCTGCACACAGGTGAAGCACGAGGAGGGACTGTGCACAAGAGATGATGAGGATGGAACAGGAGACCCAGGAGGACACAGGACCTCCAGTGCCCACCAGTCCTTCCAAGCCAGTTTCCAGCCCCTTGGGGCCAAGCCTGGCTGGCAGCAGGGCACCGAGGGCTCCTTTGGTGCCCTGGGGTGATTGCCAAGACACACCAAGGCTCAGCCAAGGGAGACGTGTCCCGCACGCTTCCCTGGGCACCGCTCAGGCAATTGGCCTATTTACAACCCCGGGTCAAAGCCGATTAAGAGGGAGCATCAGTGCTGCCTCCGCCACCTTCCACACCCGGCAGCGCCGGAGCAGACTTTGTCCGGGGAAAATCAGCTTCGGGCTCCCATCCAGCCGTGCCATCCCCCTCTCCCAGCAAGCCTGAAGAAAGCCCCTTTAAACGGGCTTAACCGCAACTTCTCAAGTGCTCAACGCAGGGATAAAAATTAAGGCTCTAATTCTAGAAGGTAAGTACAGCAGGATCAGCGCTTGTGCCGTGCTGAGGAACGCGCCGCAGCCTGCGCTGGGCATCCCCAGCCCCAAAAGTGCCCGTCTGGTGATGGGCAAATTGGTGTGAAACTCCTGAGCTGGGTCTCCTCGCGTGCTGGGATGAAACCCTGGCAGGAGCAGCTGGGGGGAGGCTGCGATGGAGCATCCCTGTGGTGGAGAAAAGCACGGAGGCTTCCTGGCTGGCACCGGGGCTCGGTGGCATTGCCCGAGCCTGGGATGCTGGAATCGGGTGATCGGGCTCGGTGGCACAGCCCAGCACCAAAAACAGGGTGCTCTGGCCCCTTGGCTGCTGGCACATGGGGTGGTCGTTCCTAAATCACCCAGTGCCCCGTCCCCCCCTGCCACGGCCACGGGAGCGTGGCGCTTGGTGGCAATCAGGCAGGCTGGCTCAGCCAAGTTTAATGCAATTAATCCAGGGCTGGAGGCTTAATTAAGTTCAAATGGTCGGACACAGAGCAGCATTTTCTGGATCGTTGTCAATAAATCAAACCCAAAACTACGGATAAAAGGGGATGAAACACACAAGGGCATGACATGCCGATGAGCAGATGGGAGAGGAAAAGGGAAAGGCTCCAAGGAGACAAAGCTGCGCTGAGCCCTGGGGATCTGGCTGGGATCTTGGGGCTCTGCAGGAGCCCCACAGTTAATTTCTGTGAGAAACTAATGAGGCTGTGGCAGGAACAATGTCTGGTAATGGGGTGGCTGCCCAGGAGAGAGCAGGAACCAGGGAGCTTTACAGGGCACCGAGCATCCTGCCACTGGGGTAGATTTAGATTAGATATAGATTAGATTAGAAATTAGGGAGAAATTCTTTGAGGGTGGTGAGAGCCTGGCCCAGGTTACCCAGGGAAGCTGTGGCTGCCCCATCCCTGGAGGGGTTCAAGGCTGGAGGGGGCTTGGAGCAACCTGGTCTGGTGGGAGGTGTCCCTGCCCAGGGCAGGGGTTGGAACTGGATGATCTTTAAGGTCCCTTCCAACCCAAACCATTCTATGATTCGCAGGGTCTCTTGGACTGACCTGGGCAGCACATGCTGCAGGGACAGACCTTGAGTCATGCTGTCTGTCTGTCTGTCTGTCCATCCATCCCTCCACTCTCACCTGCAATGGCAGAACCCAGGCTGTTTCCCACACGCAGCCTGGCCCCGGGTGCAAGGTGCCCACCCTCCCGGGGACACCAGCCACCTTCCCGTAGGAACACGCCGTGGGTTTCCTGAGCTCCCACTTGCAGGCAGAGGATCCAGTGAAGTGTTTTATCTGAACCCATTCATCCGTTCCCCGGGAGCCTGGTCTGGCATTTCCCTGGGGACCCGCTCGCCAGCATCTCTATGTAATTACTGATTTGAAAGGCCCAATTTACAAGGGGGTTGTAATTACTAATTTGCACCTACGCCTAATAAGGGGGTGGCGGGG